ACAGTCAACCAGTACATAGTCCAAATACAGAGCTTTAAAGCTTTTTTTTTTTTTTTTTTTTTTTTCCTTTTTTTTTTTTTTAAAACACTTGCCCAAGGCCTTCTTTTTTAAGCCCATGGTAGTTTCTGAGGGAAGCCAAGAGGGTGGTGAAGCAAGTCACAGGTTTAGGATTATCTACTGCCATGAACTCACCACATCTCCACCATCTTTCCTTCCCCCACCGCCAGCTCTCTTCAATTTTATACAATTTTTAGAAAACATAGGTGAGCTGGCATAAAATAACCATAAATATCTTTGCATCATCATGGAGATTCAGGAAGACAATTGCTAATGTTCACGATTGTAAACCCATAATTGATACTTTCAGTCATGGTGGGAAAAAGGGAAATTTGAGGCAAAATGCCATTAAAGGACATTTATGTTGTTCACCTTTTCAGCAACACAAGTTTCTTATCACTCAGGTCTGGCATTGGGAAAACAATATAAGATCAAAGCTAACTGAAGCTTCTAGGTTTAGACAGAAAGTTAGCACCATGTAGCTGTCTGTACTCATACTAGCCACACTCCATGGGTTTCCTAAAGTAGAATGCACTCCATCAGCAAAACAGAACATGGGCTAATTCACATCTTTAGAAACGAAAGCAGTGAATAATTTCTAATGATTCAGCTGCTCAACTCATAGCACCTAATTAATTCCGACTGGAAAGTTGCAAAAAATTATCTAAGACAATTTCAAGTATTTATTTCAGCTTATTAAATAAACTTATATGAATGAGGAATTGACCCTGCTAAATCACTGCCCTACAACTGCGGTCCAGTCATCAAGCTCCCTATGAGTGCCCTATGAAACTACATCACTTTGCTGGCCCTTGCTGTATGGGTTCCTTTTACCAAACATTTATCAAACCACACATATGACCTAGTTGGATGCTCAGCTCTCTGCATGCATCACCACTATCAAAGGGACAAACCCTGACAGCGAGAACACAGAAGGCAGGACTGATGGGGGCTCTTGCTTTTTGTGGGGAAAATCCAGGTCAGACTGAAGACTAGGTTTCAGCAGGGCTACAGACCTGAGCACAGAGCTAGAAGGAGGAGGCTGACTGTCCTCTAAAACAGCAGTGCTGGAACCAGCCAGATCCCCACCAGTGGTTCTATCTGTGCCAAGCATGGCAAAGCCTAAACCACACCAGGAAGATGGTGTCAGGCTGCAGCAAGCACAGGGAGAAGAGGGAAAACTACTACCAGAGTAGTAAGCTGTGTTAACAAGTCCAAGTAAAAAAGGCTGCTTGTATCTAAATGCAAGCATTCTGATGATGCAAAATTAAACATTTTGCTTCTTCCTGCTGACAGGGAGCAGCAAACATGATAGAATATAGCCTAACATACATTTTAGCATGCTTTATGTAAATTTGAACAGGCACCATCCTCTGTGAATGGTTTGATAAAGAACACAACTCTCATTCTAGCACAGAAACCCTTTTTCTGTTTCCTCAAGTTTTATTTTCTGCTATATTGACCTCAGCTACAAATTTCCCAGCAAAAATACAATAGGTGGTTTATGTCACATTACAGGAAATCACAAAAGTCTCTGAAGTGACCCTGATTTTCAGGCATTTCTGATTTTCTTTCAGACAATTTTTCCCTTTTCAAGCCTGCTACATAGTTAATATTGGAGCTTTATTACAGAAAAATGACACTTTAAAGTCACAATTAGGCTTCCTTGCTACGTCATTTTCTCTGAATTGCTACACCAAAGGATTTTTTTTTTACTTTCTCTTCTATCACTGTAATTTCACTAATTTGCATAGTCATACATATATACAATAGCAGCAGCTCAAGAAGAAATGGATATTCACAGCAATCCGAGTTACAATGTTATTTCAGAGACAGTTGCTCTTCTTTCCTTGCTTCCTGCGACACCAACTGTGTGAAATTTTTTGCAAAATTATGTGTGTCACTTTAGCATGATGACAGGAACCACAGATATTTGTGCACTTCCCAGTAATGCTGCTCTCTACTTAGTTGTTCTCTGCTAGCTGAAAAATGAAGGACCACAGCTTGCATTAGAATCAAAAGGAAGAAGTGCAGAAGTGAAGTCTTAGCAAAGTCACTGTCCTCCCAAGCCGAGTCAAATAGACCTTTTCTGCCATTCCAATTACTCAGTTAATCCCAATGAGTTTTTCCTGGAACAGATATCTGTGTCACCATTACTCAATAAACACAAGGCTATTAAAATATTTCCCAAACAAATCTCTTCATAAAAGTGCAATTTGAAATAAATGCCCATTGGATGCACTGCTGTACCAGAGCTCCCTCACCAGGACATTTGGCACTATCCTGAGTGTGCCTCTCCACAGACCTAAGTCCAGAGCAACCTCCAGATAACTGCTCCTGCATTTGGTGGCAAATGAAGAAATCGTTTCTTTCAGTGCAGAGGAAAAATGCTTGATGTTTCTTTACAGAACAAAAGTCCAAACTTGAAATTATTGCAGTTCTTCACTGAGCATAAGTTTGAGTACTTTTGCTTTCATAGGGAGGGGAATTTTTTTCCCCTAATCTATTATCGTTAATTGTAATCCTGAAATAACAAAAAGAAGTACATCACTTAAAAAGTGGACCTTTTTTGCTTCCTTGGATGTTTGTTCCAAGATCTCATTTAGGGAAGAAAATGCAAAAATTTATCCTCCCAAATTTCTCTCAGCCTTTTCCTTCCAAGTTTCCCCTGGTCTCACTAGGTTGCAGTAACAATCAAGTTTATCATTTCACAGGGACATTTGTTACGCCTGTGTTCTCCTTCTTACCACATCACATTTTCACTGAGGAGAAACACAGACATCTTAGGACCACTTCAACTACTCTTTTCCACAGATTTCTAACCTTTTCAATACTCTGATTTCATAATTTAAGTCTTCAGGAGTATGCAACATTCAAGCAAACAGAAACCATAGCTTAACACACTTTTAGAACTAAATGAAACAACAGATCTTTATACATTATGTCTTGTTTTTCTCACCTTTTCTGCATGTTTTGCAGGGTTTAAATAAGAGTCCTTTCAAATCCCATCCAAGAACCCCATACCCTGCACATCTTCCTTTTCAGTTGTGAAGTCTGTGGGTTTAGGTCTATTTGTCCTGGGACTTCAGCTTCTCTCTCCTTCAGCTGTTCTTGTAGACACCAGCTTTGCTCTCACTAGTAGTCACTATTTTCACTATTCCTTTGAACAGCCCTAACCACTTTTACCGTGTGGTTTTTGATGCTGCAATTTTCTTTTTTAGGTACCTGACCCCCATCTTTGCAGCAGGATAGTTACCATCTGTGTGTGCAGTGGTGCTCCACTAGAACGTATGAATATGCACATCTGATAAGCCCTGGCAGGACCTAGTAATGTGTATTTTCAAAACTAGTGGAGTTATTATGTGTTTTCACACATAATAGAGTTCACATGCTGACACCAAGACACCTCTTGGGCAAATCAAGTACAATTGCACCAGGCTGACAAGCCAGCAGTGGATTTCTGATATGTCAAGATTACACCCAAGTCTAAGTTCATGTCCTAGGTATGTTTATGTAGATACAGGTGAGACAGGACCACTCATGTGGTAGGACACAAGTCCTTCCAGGAGTTTCCTTTGAGCCAGGGGTCCTGCTGGGGTGCAGACCCTAGGCAGGGATGCTGTGCAACCACTCCAGCCTGGGACCCCCAGCAGCCAAGAGGATGCTGCCTGGTACAGGTTCTTGAGACATATGTTGGGGAGGCACTCAATGGGGACGAGCTAAGTGAACTGGCAGGCCAGCGACTGTAACACCACCTGTGTGAGCAGGAGAGCCACTGATGGGCAGCAGCCTGCCTCAGTATGCCACATACACCCACCCTGCAAAAGCATTGAGGATGTGTCTGCATGCTCTGGGCTTTGCAATGCTGTCATTTAACTCATACCTTTGCTTTTTGTGTTTCCCCCTGTTTTGGCCCCTGAAAGCGCTCCCCTGTGCCATACTAGCCTTTTTCTCCTGCCTTCTCACCATGTTTCTGACCCAGACAGCGATTCTCACCCTGCGCCGTGTTCCACAGCCCTCGGCCTCCCTCAGCGGCTCCGGGCCGTGCAGCACGCCCGCCTCCCGCTCGCGGCCTCCCCGGCGCTGCTTGCCAACAGCTCCATCTCCCGGACACAGCGCGCCCTGCACCTAGCTGCGCGTCTTTTCACCCCTCCCCTGCTTACAAACCACCACACATCTGGTGGTGGTCCATGAGCTTCAGAGACTCCAAGGTGTTAAATGAGGGGTTTTTTGACATGAGACAAGACCTGAGGATTAAATTTTGAAGGGGTCTGCACAAGACAGCAGGAACAGATAGGCGGCATTTCACTTAATAGGTTTGTGCTTGCCGTGCTGAGGGCTTCACCTGGACTGGGAATAATTTGAAAATCTGTAAATAAATTTTTTAAACCTTTGATTTTTGATCAGGGAATTCTGAAAATTTCATTTCCCAGGAGTCATACCCCTCTGTCCTCCTATCTCTCCATCTCTTCTTCGTTAAAGTCTATCCGGGTCTGTTTCAAAGAAATCCAATGTGCAGCTGATCATTGCTGAGGCAATTCAATTCACCAGTACATTCTTGATTTCTTTTTCCTGCCTCAGTGCTGAACTATGTACCAAAATCACGTTGTTGGGAACCAAAACCAAGAGAGCTTGCTACATGGCTGGAAGAGAGCAGCCAGCTCATAATATGGACATTTCCTATCTCCCGCCTCAATTTTCCCATCTGTTTCAAGTGGACATTTGAAGCGTTCGACAGGGAAACCGTCGCCTGAAGCTTGATGGCTTTATTTTGTGTTATTATGGCGCACAGCTCTGCGCCATAAAAACACAAAATAAACCGATTTGCATTTTTAAAAAAGGAAAAGAAAATCTCTATCACCGCCTCCGCCACGCTCCGCCCCGAGGGGAGGGAGCCGCTCCCCTCAGAGCTCTGGCCCCGCCCCGCGGCGCCTGCGCACTGCTCCCGCGCACGCGCGCTGGTGGGAGCTCTGCCTCACGTATTTCCCGTTCCCCGTTCCCGGCTCCCGTGCCGCTCCCCCGGTTCCCGTCCCGTTCCCCTCGTTCCCGCCTCGCCGCACTGCCCGCGGGCGATGCGGTGGTCCCGGCGCAAGGCAGGCGGGCCGCGCCTCAGCTTCTCCTGAGCGCTCGCAGCCGTTCCCTGCAGGAGCTGCCTCCCTCCGTCCCGCCATGGAGCAGCCGTACGGCGGGCAGGCCCTAGCCGGCGGCGGCGCGCTGGGGCCTGTGGATGTGCCCAGCGCCCGGTAACGGCGGCGGGGGGGAGCGGCCGCTCTGCTGGCTCTGGCGGGCGGCTCCTCGCCGTCCCTTCTTCAGGGGGGCAGCGGGCATCGCCCTCCGTTCTCCCGGGGGCGGGGGGCCGGCGGCCTTCTCTGAGGCGTCGGGGCCGGCCCGGGCGGCGGCGTGGCAGGTGCGAACCGGCCTCTCTCCTTCTACAGGCTGACTCGGTACATCGTGCTGCTGTGCTTCGCCAAGGTTTTGAAAGCCGTGGGGCTGTTTGAATCCTATGATCTTCTGAAAGCGGTCCACCTGGTGCAGTTTATCTTCGTAGTGAAGCTGGGGTGAGTGTGCAGGGGGTGGAGCCTTATCCCCCACGCGTGATACTTTGGGTGTTCTTTGACAGCGTCAGTCTTGTTACCCTGCATTATGTTGTTATCGTTTACTCGAAGAGGAGAAGGCATAATAACGAATCCAAGAAGTGCTCTGTTCATAGCAGTGTTTTTGCTTCACATTTCTGTAATTTCAGTGTCTTGCAATGTCTCAAGTTGGAAATGACCCATAAGGTCCACTGAGTCCAACTCTCTGCTCCTCACACAACTACCTGAAACTAAAACATATCATCAAGAGTGTTCTCCAGATACTCCTTGAGCTCTTAACAGGTTTCGAGTTGTGACACTCCTGGGGAGCCGGTTACGGTGGCTGGCCACCCTCTTAGTGAAGAGCCTTCCCGTAATGCACAGTGTGAATTTACCCTGATGCGGTGTCATTCCCTCTCATGCCCTGTCACTGGTCACTGGAGATCAACATCTCCCCCACCCCTGTCCCTCCACTGAAGAAGGTGCTGTGAGGTCACCCCTCAGCCTTCTCTAAGCTGAGCAAGCCAAGCAACTTCAGATGTTCCTCTTGCTCTTGAGACCTTACACCATCTTGGCTGCCTTCCCCAGATGCACACTAACAGTTTGATGTCCTTCTGATACAGAGGCACCCAAAACTGCATACTGGACCTGACTGAGGCCTCATCAGTGCATTGCAGAGCAGAACAATCACCTTTCTTGAGCAGCTTGTGATGCTGTACTTGAATGCAGATGCACCCCAGAATACAGCTGATCCTTTTTGTTGACCCATATTCAGCTTTCCATCAGTGCCTCCAGATTTCTTTGTGGGGCTGCTGTCCAGCTTTTTGTGCCCTTCTTTGTGCATACAAGCAGGGTTACCCCACCACAGATGGCGAATCAGCACTCATTCTTTTCATATCATTGGCAGTTGTCCAGTTTTCTAGTCTTTTCACGTGTCTCTGTAAGGCCTCTCTGCCCTCGAGAAACCTCAGTGTTTTTCCAACTTCAAAGCTGGGCCTGTTCTGACAGTGCAGTTGGTCACGGTGTGCCTGTTGCTCCAGCTGGCAATCCACTATCATCACACAAATGTGCTTTCACCTTCCCTCACCTCAGGGGGCTGCAAAGGAGAATCAGGAGGAAAACAAAAAACAAAACTCAAGAGTTGTGATAAGAAGGGTTTAATAATTGAAATTAATAAGCTAATAAATTATTAATAAGTTAATACAGTAATAAAAGGAAGTGATGCGCGGTGCTACTGCTCAACACACAACGACGATACCCGGCCCATATCCAACCCACAGACCCCTTGTGGGTAGTTCCCCCAGTTTATGTACTGAGTATATGGTATTTATGGCATGGAACATCCCTTTGGCCTGTTCAGGACAGGTCTCCTGGCCATGCTGCCTCCCAGCTTGTTGTGCACCTGCTTGCTGCCAGAGCATGGGAAACCAAAAAGTCCTTGACTTTGGATAAGCGGCACTAAGGAACAGCCAAAACTGTGTTATCAACATTGTTCTCACACTGAATCCAAAATAGCACTGCACTAGCAGTAGCACTGGAGTAGTAGCTACAGCGAAAAATTTTTCTCAGTCCAAGCTGAAACCAGGACACTCAGGCATGTCCAGGTTTTGTTAACAAGGGTGTAGAAGATCAGCTTTCTTCTTTATAATTTGTATTCCTGAAGTTCTTTTGGGATTCAGCGGCTGTTTTTCCCATATTGAGGGGTGAGGTGTGAAAACTCATAGCAAATACACAGAAACAATCTTTGCAGACAAAATCCTGCTTCATGTTTACCAGATGAGATATGGAAGAGCATTTATGTAATAAACTTGGCAGAGTTGGAACATTTGGAATTCATTTTTTTTCTTTTATTTCTTATTCAACTATAATTATGGACTTCTTTCTTGCATGTTCCCAAGCACCATAGTTTTTTTTGCCCATCACTTTTGATCCCACTTGAAGAAGTTGTGTGCTGTGTCTTTCATTCCTACAGGTCTGTGTATTCAGCATTCTATATCTGAGTAAGCCTTTTTGTATACCTATATTGCTAATAAAAATCAGAGTATTATTTCTCTTCAAAACTTCTGAGATCAGTTATTTTGATTTTTGTAAATCATAAGTCAACTTATCATTAGCCATTCTCTCAAGAACCGGCATTTGAAGTTGACCAGAACTGAAGTTCTCTTATCATTACTGTAGTAGTGGTAACTGATGCGGGTAGTGCAGCAGGGAAAGTAAAACCTGTGACTGTTGTTAGTGTGGCTAACACCAAAAACCAGTTACAGTTGTTACTGTTAATGGATCAAACGTAGAGGAAGTAATTTTGTAAACTGAACCAGATATGAGAAACCTAGGTGTTTAGATCTGGTTTGAATAAAAAGATGATTGCTAATTAACTAATAGACAAAACTTATTCCTTTTGACAGGTCTGCTTTTTTTATGGTTTTGTTTCAAAAACCATTTTCTTCTGGAAAAGTGGTAACCAAGCGTCAGGTGAGTTGACATATGTAGGAGTCACTCGCATCATTGTAAATATTCTTGGCAATATGGCTCTTGCCAAAACTGAAAGGTGAACAAAGATTACTCTACTTAGAAGATGTGGTTACAAGTTCTAGCGGTATACTATTAACTCAGTGTCTTGTGGGCTGTTACATTCATTGTTCTTAGCTTTTGTCAGCTTCTTTTGAGAGTACAGTGAAAGGGCTGGTCCTTATCACCAAGTGATCATCTGCTGTAAGGTGTGGATTTTCAAAAAGAGCTCAGTCTACTTAGCTCGTCTGGACAGTTAGACAGGCAATTTCTGGACTGCCAGAATGTCAAAATGCTCCAGTCTTGTCACTCAGAACAGAAGAGCACAAATCTGCGTGTGATGAAGGCCTAATCTAACTGCTCATCAGACCTTTGTGAGTTCACAGTACCCCAAGGAGTTTAGAGTAGAGCCAGATTGGATTTGTGCTGATTGTGAAAAATAAATTTTTTTCACCTGCTTCACATTCATCTTGGATTTATGTAATTGTGTGCACAAAACCTGGATCCAGTGTGAGCAGTAAGTAGACAGAATCTGAAGGATAGCCTGGAAGTGTTCCTTGTGTCAACTGCTTTCATGACTTTTTTAAAAGAATTTTAAAAATGTAAACAGGAATAAATGGCATCTTTGATTTGAGTTCAGAACAATCTGTCTATATGTGGTTTTACTTCTGCTAAAACATTTCAGATTCTGGATTTTGAAGATGTTATGTTTGTTGTAGGTACTTCACCTTGTTTAGCATATTTCCAGAATTAATTTCTTCTAAAACTTGCATCTGAAGTTAATAAAGTATTGAATATCTGAATTATAGCCTGCTCCCTGAAGAAAGACTACAACACACGCATAAATATTTGTAGGCATAAGGTCTTAGCCTCAATTTGTACATTTTATCTAGTTCTTATTCAGTTTATCTCTTTCTGATATATATAGTAGATTACAAATAGGTAAATGGACTTGATTTTTTTGAACTAGTTTTTCAGGCTTTTTGTTGAAGAGAACTCAGACAATGTTACAGAATTTAGAACTGTGATATAAAAAAATTCTGGTTCATAGTATGTCCAAATCTTAGTTGCCTGGCAAAGTATCTAAGAAGATAATCATACTGTAAATTATAATTATAGAACTTGCAAAGTACATGTTTTCCCCTCAGTTTTTAAAGCTATTGTGCTAAAACAATGCTAGTAATAGAATGTTTATTTTGAAACTCTGGAGAAAATTATAATGAAATACCTTTCTTTTGTAGTGGATCAAAATTTTTAAGCATGCTGTTGTTGGATGTATCATTTCTCTGTTGTGGTTTTTTGGCCTTACTCTATGTGGACCATTGAGGTAAATACATATCTACTTTAAATACAAATTTTCTTTTGTGATCCTTCCCTGTCTTGCTCCTTTGTTATTTTTTTCTGTCTGTCAGACAGTGCTGCTAGCCATTTGATTTATATGCAAAAGCTTATTGAATCCTTATGAATTTTCATGTGAAATCTTTAGTGCTTGGGAAGAAGTACGTATAATTTCTGTAGAACTGGTAAATTTCTTCTACCAGAAGAACTACTTCTTTTATGAGATGCCAGTGAAATTCTTGATAGTGCTTAAACACTTGATGTGAGTGATACATCTAGGTGACTTTGTGCAGTTTTTGTTGCTTCCCTGCTCTCATTAATGTAATGCCAACTGTTTATTTACCTGTTTGGAGTCTGTGCCTTGATGGCTAATGGTATTCCTTTGACAGGTGGCTAGAATCAATTTCTGCACTTATTGCAGAGTACTTCTTTATCTGGTTGGCTGTGTGCTGTGTGTTGAAACTGGGTAACATTAGTGCATATACAGGTAAAACTATTTGTGCTGTGTGTCAGTACTACTGACTGACTGAGTATGAAAGAGCAGCTAGACTTTCAAAAGTGAAGGTTAATATATTGGAAAGCACGTTTCACTCTAGAGAGGAAAGTAAAGCCTTAAATGATATATTTTATGAAGGTGAATTTTTATCATCTACACAGGGGAAGGCATAACTAAGAGTAATAATACTATGATAAATTATGTTAATGTACTTAGTACTCTTATGTCTTTCTGGATGCTGGCAGTCTTCTCAAACCAAACCAGTTACATGGGTCCAGTCATGGTCTCTTGCTGTGCAGAGGGTTGCAAAAGCGTTTGGTAAATTTGAGAGCAATTAATTACTTTCATGTTCTGCTCAGGAAAGCTGTGAGTACAGCTTGGTATTTAGCCTTTGCTGTCTGAAGGAGGTAGTATGGAAGCTAGAATTTTTTATTTTCAGCAATTCAGAGGTTTTGAGGTGGCATAAGCTACTAGGTCAGCAGCACCTCAATGAACAGTACACATTAGTACAGAATAGGACATCTTTTTTTTCTCTGGGGGCAGAAGCTGATTTAGAGGAGGTATTATAGTGGGAATAATAGCTCCATTTTGAGCAAGTTGGTACCTTGTTGTGTTGCTAGAAGAAAATGCAATTTAAAATTGTCCATAAATGAATAATTTTAATCTGTTACTTGAATTAGGAAGTTCCTGTTTTGTAACATATATAGTTGTCTGCAGCTAGATCTATTGCTGGTGAAGGCAAATTGATTTGTGTTTTTTTTCTTTTGAATTTTTAAACCTGCTCTTGTAATCATAGGATAAATCTTTGTTGTGTCACTAATTTTAGCTGAAATAGTGTATATCAAGGTTTTGAGGCAAACACACTGTAAATGGAGTATTTATTTCCTTTTTTTTATAGGACATTATTACTGTTTGAGCACAGTGATGTGGTTGTGCTGTCACTCCTTAGTGTCTTGTTCACAAGCTCAGGTGGAGGACCAGCAAAGGTATTTAAAAATCGCTTTTATCAAATGTAAAACATACTAAATCCTATAAATTCAAGTACTTCTTTACCTGGAACAAACTGTGTTTTGGATCCACATTTTTTAGTTTAATTAGTGGTGAAATGGTAAGACGTACTACTTGCAGTGGTTTAAGTCTGGATGGTGAAAGCTCTGGGAGCTGGGATTCCATAGCTACCTCTGTCCTTTCCCGACAAAAGAACTTCAGAGCTGTTCTTTCTCCTAGTCTTTGCATAGTTCTTTAGCCTTCAGGTCCCATAAGACAAAATCCAGCAGTTTGTACAGATCTTGTTTGTAGCTCATTCGTGCTATGAAATATTAAATCATCAGGTTGTAGTAGCAGTGCATTCTGGCGGGCAGAAAGACACCATGGAGAAAGTAATCACACTTAAAGTTCATAAGATACCAGCATCTAGCTTTCTGCAGTAGTGATATGTTCTGAATTATCTGGTAAGTCTGAAAAACAGAAAAAAATGTGAAATTGTATTGTCAGGGTCACTTTCTTAAAAATAATAGGGGTTTCTTTAAATGTTTTCTTACTGGAGTATGCTTACATTGATCAGGAAGCAGGGAAGTAGAGGACCAATTTCCTAGATTTTTTTACAGTAATCTGTTGTGCCAGTTTAGAAATACTTGGGGGTTTTTGTTGTTTGGTTGATTATTGTTTGTTTGGGTTTATTTTACAGACAAGAGGTGCTGCATTTTTCATCATAGCTATCATCTGCTTACTGCTTTTTGATAATGACGACCTCATGGCTAAAATAGCAGAACATCGTATCCTTTCTTGTTATGTGAAAGAGCAAGTGACTCTTAGTACTGGAGCAGAAAAAAATGTGAAATTGAGTGTACTGAATTAAATTATAATTAGAAGTGATTTTGAAGTTAGTTTTCAATTGATCATCTCATCATAGTGTACTGACAAAAGGTAGCACATCTACAGATGGGCAGTAAAAACAAACAAGTTGAAAGTAAACTTTTCAAAGGAGGAATAAAAAACATGGAATTACGCAAATGGTGTGTTCTGGAACCTTATTGATGAATTTACTTAGTTTTCAGTGAGTAGAATCATAAAATAGAGTCATGGAGTGGCCTGGGTTGGAAGGCACCTTGAGATGATCAAGTCCAGCTGCTTACCCAGCACTGCCAAGCTTGTCACTAAATATGTCTCTAAGTGCTACATCCGTATGTCTTTTAAAAGCCACCAGGGATGTTCATTCAGCCATTTCCATGGGCAGCCTGTTTCAATGCTTGATAATTCTGTCCAAAGAAATTCTTCCTAATACTCCATCTGCTCAATCCTAATACTAATACCTGAAGCAACTTAAAACTATTTCTTCTTGTCCTGTCAGAAAAAACTGACCCCCACCTGGGTTCGTCATGCTGTCAGATAGTTGTAGAGTGTGGTAAGATCTGCCCTGAGCCTCCTTTTCTCCAGACTAAACACCCCCACCTCCATCAGCTGCTCCTTGTAAGTGCTCCCCAGCTCTGCTGCCCTTCTGTAAACACACCTCAGCACTACCATGTCTTCTTGTACCTCGGGGCCCAAAACTAAACACAGGATTTGAGGTGTGGCCTCACCAGTGTCCAGTACAGGGAGACAATAACTGCCCTGCTCCTGCTGGCCACACTGGGCATACACTGGCTCATGTTCTGCCACTCCCAGGTCCTTTTCCACTGGGCAGCTTTCCAACCGCTCTGTCCCGGACTGTGGAGCTGCCTGGGGCTGTTGTGACCTAAGGGCAGGACCCAGCACTGGGCCTTGTTGAACCTCACACCAGTTTTTTACCCAGTGAACAGTGTAACTGCCCAAGCCAGGTGCTGCTGGTTTCTCTGGGAAGATCATGTGGGAAATGGTGTCCAAGGCATCCATGCAGCCCTGAAGTCCATGCATCCACAGCTTTTCTATCATTCACTAGGCAGGTCACTTCTTCATAGCAGATCAGGATGGTCAGTCAGGACCTGCATTTCACAAACCCATACTGACAGTGGGGCCTGATCTCTGGTTGTCCTGCACATGCCAACACACCATAAAGCTCAGTTTGCTTACATCTGCTTTCTGTGTTCTGCTACGTTTGCCTGTTCTTGTTCTTGGTTAAAAAAAAAAAAAAAGAAAAAGAAAATATCTAATGAAACTCTTCCTTAATTTTTTATTTAGCTGAGGGGCATCATGACAGTGCTCTTACTCATGTTCTGTATACAATCATTGCTTTCCTGGGTGTTGCAGATCACAAGGTAAATAACATGTATTTTAGAATCTTAGTATCTAAGTTTTGAAAGTAACAATTTCACTAACTCAGAGCTAATCCAAGCCTGAATCAAAACCAAAAGGTTGAACATCCCTACCCCATATTGGAACTGAACTAGTACAAGTAATTTTGCACACTGATTGGAGTATGAAGAGCTTCAATACAGCAAGCCAAACCATACAATATTCAGCCTCTATAGCTGATAAGGACTTTGCTGTCATACATAGCCTAACAAGTCTCATTAAAATTACCATGAAATATTTTGTCATCAGTGTTCCTGGTGTTTATAATGCTTTGTCTACAAATCACTTCTTATTCACTTTCAGGGTCTGTGTTCTGTTTCTGCATCTTTAGATTTCCCCAGTCTTTCCTTTGCTACTTGTATTTGAAGACACAGATTCTGATACTTCTCAGTATGATACTCCCATTGTAATTGGTGGTATGAATAGCTGAATATCATAATCTGACTGTACAGGGTTGAACTGGCTGATTGAGTCATGTTAGCTTAGTCTTGCTAAAGGCTAAGGCTTAATTGAGGACTAAAGCAGGAAAAAAAATTGAGCAGTTGAAAATGTATTAATATAAAAATAAATCAAATATTAGACTAGTTAATGGTGCAAAAAAGCAAGTGTGATCTAAAGGAGATGAGATGCTGTGTATCTTGTAATTCATTTAAAGAAAAATTTTGAAAGTATATTGTGAAGAAATAAGATGTGTTCAAAGGTAAGTGGATGAAAAGGCTATGAAAGGTCTAGAGGACAAGATGATGTGAATATTTAGGGGTTTATGTATGCTTTCAACATGCTTTTAATAATGGAAGATGGGAAAACTGGGTGACTATTCTTCCTCAGATGCTGATTGCTACCATTTTGCTGCTGGTGTATGCCAGTTAACACTATTGAGAGTTTTAAAATTCAGCTCAGGCTGTTGTGAGTGCTAAGGCACAACTGTGTATGCTATGTTACTGTTTGTAGCTAGAGTAAAAATTACAGGAAATATCCTACTTTGGCTTTTGTTTCCAGGTTAAGGAAAACACAGTAATATTTCCTTCTTTTTAGTGTCACTGTGTTTGGAGTGAGGCTTTTAGTACTTAAGAAATGCTAATGGAATCCTGTTATGTTTCCAGGGTGGAGTACTGCTTCTGGTACTGGCATTGTGCTGCAAGGTTGGTTTTCACATGGCATCCCGAAAACTATCTATAGATGTGGGTGGAGCCAAACGTCTTCAAGCTTTGTCTCATCTTGTTTCTGTCCTTCTGTTGTGCCCATGGGTTGTTGTTCTCTCTCTGACAACAGAGGTAAGATAATAAGTACAGAAATAAATCATTTTTTGTAATGATTCTGAATTGCAATTTAAATCTTTCCTTTAAAATATCTTTAAAATTATCAATGTTGCTGTCTTTACTTTTTGTAGTAAGCTTTGTTTGAAATTTTTCCATTATGCTTTTCTTCTATATTTGGTTTTTATCTGTGTGATACTTTAATTTCCTGTTTTGTATAATAGCTGTGTTTCATCCTTCTAGCTCAGATAGTATATCTTGGGTTCATCTGCTAACATTGCACAAGCATTAATGACTTTATACAGTGCTCTTTTATCCCTAAGAAGTAAATAATTTATTGTTATTTTTAAAAATGCTCTTTATGCTTGCATGCATAGGGAGATTAGGCCATTGGAACCATGGCATTGTTGGAATTCGTTTTACGAACGAATGAAAGTATTTAAAATAAAGGGCTTCAGTGCATTTTAGATATATGTCTCTTTTCATATCTGGAATGATACATTTATGTGATAAATTGAAAATATAAAAGTGTTTATGTTTTATGGATTAGTGAAAACACTTGTCATTCAAGTGAACTACATTTAGTGCTATAAATACAAGTCACTCTTCTGGTGAGCAGTCATGTTTGAAATTTTTTTTTGTTGCAGAGTAAAGTAGAGTCTTGGTCTTCTCTCATCATGCCTTTCATAACAGTCATCTTCTTTGTTGTGATCCTGGATTTCTATGTGGAGTCCATATGCTCTGTGAAGATGGAAGCTTCCACATGCGCTCGATATGGATCCTTTCTTATTTTCATTAGTGCACTGCTTTTTGGAAACTTTTGGACGCATCCAATAACAGACCAGCTTCGAGCTATGAACAAGCCACCACACCATGAAAGCACAGAGCATGTTCTTTCTGGAGGGGTGGTAGTGAGTGCTGTCTTCTTTGTTTTGTGTACGTATTCTTGTCTAAACTGTAGTAAATCTGTGGTCTGTGTGACTAGGAAGCCAATCAGAAAATGGAGGTGTGCGGAATTCTTTTGCACGAGCTTTTATGGATTCTTTGGAATAAGGCAGCCTGTAGCTTTTCGCTCTTCTATTGTCTGTCTACAGAAAAAAAAAAAGAATGTGATCTGTTGTGGAAGTGATGATCTAATTTTACCTAGCAGTGAAATGCAATAATAAACCTCCAGATGAAGTTAACAATCAATTTGCTGCCAGAAAATTTCATGTAAACTTTGATTGCTGATTAAACACATTATAGAATAGCTGTGAAGCTTAGAAACAGCAACAAAAACTTCAATACTTTCCTTGCAGCTGCCAATATCCTGTCCTCCCCCTCCAGGAAAGGGCAGAAGGGTACCCTTATTGGCTATTCCCCTGAAGGCACTCCTCTCTATAACTTCATGGGTGATGCATTACAGCAAAGCTCCCAGTCATTGCCCCGGTTTATTAAGGAATCACTGAAACAAATCCTTGAGGAGTATGATTCTCGACAGATCTTCTATTTCTTGTGCCTAAATCTGGTAAGTGCATGGTTTTTTTTTTCTTCAAATCCAATCACAATAGTGCATATATAATAAAGAAAGAAGAGTTATTATTTAGAAGATTCCCATAATTGATTTGTTTGAAAGTGACCTTTGACAGGGCAATTTAAGTAGTGGTCACTGATTTGTGGTCACAGTGCAGCACTGGTTCTATATGTAAGGGTTACACCAGTAACTGAATACTTGTATGATAGTATGTTTGAGGTTGAGATACCTCAATGTTGCCAGCAAATAAGGTGAAACTGACAAGGCCTTGGTGAAACTGATAAGGATGGGGACAACAAAATAGAAGGTGTGGGATTGATTAGTGTCATACTGGAGCAGGCTAGTTTTATTTTTAGCTTCTCTCTTGAATAGGAAAAGATGATGCAGTAAACAAAACTGATAGAACCTCATTTGTAAAGATCTTCAGGAAAATAAGGGGTGAAACTTGAAGTATCTGTGTTAAGAATAAGGAATTTATTATGGAAATGAAAGATTTGAAAAAATCTTTCATATTCCATAATAAAAAAATCTTTCATATTCCATTAAGCAGATGGATTAATAATAGTAAAATGTACAGGGTAAATGTATATATTAAAAAATGTTTCCTTGTTTACGTTTCTCAGAGCCAACTCCTCAGATTTAAACTGTCAACTTACTAAAGAAGAAAATCTTGGCATTAACAGATTTATAGACAGCATTACTTTTACACTAATAATGTAGAGTTCTTGCATTTTTAATTATAAAATGCTTAGAATTTGTCTGCAGAATGTCAGTTTAAAATTTGAAACAAAAAATTTATTCCTGTAAAGAGTCGGTTTTTATGTGTGAGTCTGTAAGGAGAGTGAGTTCAAAAATGTCTCTTTATAGACTTGAAGTGTATCATGTATTTCATTGGAGGAGAGTAAAAATGGTCTAGAAATATTCAGAACAATACCTTTGAAAAATATTGAGTGTTATAAGAAAAGAATATCCTTCTATCTACCAAAACGTTAATACACCAGTTAATTTTTAAGGAAAAATTTAAACTCTGTTTTGTTTTAGGCTTTCACTTTTGTGGAGCTTTTTTATGGAGTATGGACCAATAGCCTTGGTCTTATTTCTGATGGATTTCACATGCTTTTTGATTGTTCTGCATTAGTGATGGGGCTTTTTGCAGCTCTGATGACAAGGTGGAAAGCAACTCGCATATTTTCATATGGGTATGTGTCTTGCGTTCTTTAAGGACTATTTGAAACTTAACTCTCCTTGCTCATTTTCAAAATGTCCTGGTATGTATGGATATTTTAGTAATGCATGTTTCTGTGTGTTTTTTACTTTGTCTCTTGCATTTGTTCTCATGCTGTTCTCTTCTTACCTGTGCAAAAAATATGTCTGAAATGTAACTTTCATTTATCTCTACAAGTAGAACTTATATCACTGTGAATATTCTTTAGAAATTGCCTCATGCTAGGCATTTATGTCAAACAGAAATCTATGTTAAAAATCAGTGTTCGTATGAAGATTTAGATTCAGCTGATATAATCTAACTTTATAAATTTGCATGGCAGTTTAGCAGTTTGAAGTCCTGAATGGGCAGTATATATAAGAGAATACTTCTACATTGTTTTATTATAATGGAGTTTGGACAGTTGGAAACTGGCCACCTCTTGATCAGAAAAAAATAACTCAGAAATTGAGGCATGATGATGTGGCATTGAGGAAAAAAGCCACAGCAATCTTAATGCTGTGTTGAAAGAATTATAACTTTATTATAACTTTGACATTGGTTCAGAGTACCCATTTTTCACTCTCAAATGTTTATGTGTTTACTTTCAGGTACGGACGTGTAGAAATTCTCTCTGGATTTATTAATGGCCTCTTTCTGATGGTGATTGCTTTCTTTGTCTTCATGGAATCAGTGGCAAGACTGGTAGATCCTCCAGATATAGATACAAACATGCTAACTGTAAGTTTTGTCCTTCTGTTTCAGTGTAGTTTTGCAGTTAATGGTTAATTTATGTTTATCTCCAGGGTGATAGTCCTTCCAGTACCTGAAGGGAGCCTTCAGAAGAGCTGAGAGGAATTTTTTGCCAGGGCATTTAATGGACAAGGGGAGATGGCTTCAAACTGAAGCAGGGCATGTACAGAGTAGATATTAGGAGTGAATTAGATATTGGGAGGGAATTCCTTATTGTGAAGGTGGTAAGGCACTGGAACAGGTGGCCCGGAGAAGTTGTAGGCTTCCACAGTTCTCCTTAATTAAGTGCATAGTGGTTTTGGTTACTGTGTTCTAGAAAATAAGTTTGAATACCTGTGAGGATGCAGTGAAGTTGAAGACTTTTCTCCCTCTCACAGCCGGTCTCTGTTGGAGGGCTGATCGTAAATCTTGTTGGCATCTGTGCCTTCAGCCACGCGCACTCCCACGGGGCTTCTCGGGGAGGCTGTCCCACACATGATCACAGCCATTCTCACCATGGCCACAGCCATAGCCACGGGCACGGCCATTCCCACAGTGACCATGGCCACAGCCATGGACATTCCCATGGATCTTCTGGAGGAGGCATGAACACCAACATGAGAGGCAAGTACAGATTGTTGAATCATAAATGATGTACATGATTTCTAGGAGACTGAAGACTTTCCGGATCAGACCTATGCTGTATTATGCCTTAATCTAAAAACGCTCAGATGAGTGATCTGACAGGCATTAAATGCACTATACAGGAATTGCTCAAACCATTTGTGAATTTAACTTGACAAAACATGAGATACTTCTGTGCATATGTATGTAATACATAAGGAACAATAATAAGCGGGAATCTATAGTAGTCACTAACATTAAAAAAGGTCACTGTGAACGATATTTAAAAAGCTTTAAGTCCTTGTTTCTGAGTTCAAACTGGAAATGAAGGTACAAGGTCTCTATCTATAGGTACTACCATGCTTCTAGGAATCATGTGACAGTTGGTTGTAAAAACACTGGGAAGGGGATAAGAAGCAGGAGAACAAATACAGACCAGCGTAGAATATGCTTTTATTTGTGATTCAGAAGATAAAGTGGTAAAGAAAAATTTTCAAATATGAAATCATGAAGCTAACTGAGAAGGGCACTGTATGTGAAAGTTCAGCATAGAATTTTTCCCTAGTAGTTAAAAAATATTTATTTACCAACTGTCTGCCTTATTAAAAAAAAACCTTTAAAAGTGGTGTTTTCTGTGTAAGCTTGTCAGAATATAGTAAACAGTCTCATGTTTTGTATGTTATTTTATGTCTTAACTCAGTTGGTTATCCTGGTTACTCATATTCATCATGTCTGTAATTCTTTTAAGTCTGCATATGGTCATGTTTCAATATTCTTTAAAATCCTGACACCTAACTGGCACCAATCTTACCAAGGATTGAAGAGTATTTTTCTATGCCCATTGAGTGTACATTGAGAATGAACTGACAAGCAGTAGAAATTAGAAGATTCATCACAGTAGCACAAAGACAATTCTCTTTGTAAAATTGGAGAAGATTGGAGTAGAGCTGGCGTACAAAAAACAACCAGTACATTCATGTGTGTCCACTCTAGCAAGCAGTGTACACTGATCTTCTAACTCTCTGTTAGGGATCAATGAGTCCTTACATAGAGAGGTAAATGATTATGCTATATTGTACAAATCCCACTAACGATTGAAAGTCTATTCACATATACTTTAGTCTGTGGATGCCTACCTAGATCATTGGCCCATAGATTAAAAATTGGTTTTTACATTAATTTGCAGTTAAACATTAGAAGAGCTAAGTATTTAGTGTATTTTGTCCTAGGTTAGGCAGAGAGTTGTCTCTGTTTAGCTTGAGGATATTAGTAAGCCTTACTAAGTTTCTGCTATTGAATATATACATACATTTTAGACAGAATTGTTAATCACTCTGTTTGTTTTGGTTTTAGGTGTGTTTCTGCATGTGTTAGCAGACACTCTTGGCAGTGTTGGTGTTATCGTATCCACAATATTTATTCAGCAATTTGGATGGCTCATAGCTGATCCGCTCTGCTCTCTCTTTATTGCTACATTGATTTTTCTTAGTGTTATCCCACTGTTGAAAGATGCCTGTCAAGTGCTTTTGTTGAGGATACCTCCAGAACAGGAGAAAGATCTGCATGCTGCTTTAGAAAAGGTACAATTATAAATTATTTTATATACAAGCATCCAAAGTTGTAACTGTTTTTAATGATTATTAAACTCAGACAGATCAGTCAGACAGCTTCTGTTGTCTTAGACAACTTCATGTCTCAAGTTTTTTAAAATCTATTTTGCAGAGAAGTGACAGGATTACTAGTTCTAACTATAAAAGTTGGTTTGCAGCTAAAAAGACTTCTGTTTTTTGGTTTTATGGATAGCCCATAATTTCGGACAAGTATAGTAACACTTTGGTAAATGTACCACACTGTAGTACTGAGAAAGTAATACACAGTTCCCCAACCGGCTTAAACTTGTTCTGAACATTCAGGGTACAGGATTATATCACGAGCTTGTAATTTCAAGTTTTCTGATTTATCTATATCATGAAGGGTTCACAGTAGGTGGGATGGCAAAACTTAAGCTGTTTTTTCTACTTATTTTCATTCTAGACTGTTCTCTTCCTGTCTGGTGCAGTATGACATCTGCCTTGAGGCTGTACCTAGTCTTTGCTGTTGCCTCATTTTAAGTTCCTGTCCAGAACAGTAATGTGGACCTCAGTGTGCAGAATTCCTCTCTGTGAAAGAATGAGTTAAAAGTTCCTTGAGGATGCCAACAATTAGAGGCTTCAAGGAAAACTATCCTTATGGTGTCCTGTCAGTTACTAGATGGGAAAATGAGTTCTTGTCTGCATGAGAAAAAGAAAAGAACAAATGGGAATTGTCTGGGAGAGATGCATGTAGTGAAAGTGACATGCAAAGTGTGATTTCACTTTTTGATGAGAGAAGACAGTAATTTTGAGAGACTGGGGAAAAATAAAGTACTTTTTGAGAACAATCAAAGACCAACGATTAAAAGATAATAGGAAAAGCATTTTAAAAATTACATCACAATAAAACAATGTGTTTGCTGTAAGTTGACCCTGTCCAGCAGCCAGGCATCCATACAGCCACTTGCTCACTGCCCTCCTTTCCCACTACCGCCACCAGTGGGATGGGAGCATAAGCAAAAAAACCCTGGAAACAATATAACAGGTGAAGGAAGAGCAGTGGAAAAAAGGAAAAAAAAAAGCAGTCCCCAAACAACAGCCACCTTGGAAACCAAAGTTCCACCTTCATCCTCTACCCCAGTTTTTACTGCTGGGCAAGGTGTTACATGGTGCGCACACACCATGGACAGCTTGGGTCAGCTGCCCTGGCTGTGTCCCCTCCCTGCTTGTTGCCCATCCCCAGCCTACCCACTAGGGCAAGGGCAAAATGGGGAAAAAAAGAAAGCCTTGAAACCGCCTGATAGAAAAGAAATAGCCTGAACATTCAACAATAGCCAAATCATTGGTGTGTTATCAAAACAGTTTTAAGCAGAAATCCAAAATACAACACCTTATCAGCTGCTCTTAAAAACCATCACAGCCAACTCAGAACAATGATCAATTTGAAAAAAATTATGTATTATGGAAAGGAAGTTATGTCTCTGAATAAAGTTCAGCTGTGATAACTAAATATTGCTAAACAGTGTGGTAACCAATGCCCTGGTAGATGCTGGACCAGTATTCTGATTAGTCTATCCATTTGTGTTCCTGTGATCTGTTCATTAAATCAAGGGATTTTTTTCCTCATCCTATTTAGCATTGCTCTTCTGGGGGTTTTCATTTGGTTTGACTTTTACCTTCTAGAATTTTACAGTAGTAGCAAGGTAACCTTTCAATACAAGATATTTCTGAATATAGCTTAGTTGGAAAGCTGCTGTGCTACGGTTTTGTTTCCTTGTGAAATGTTATCCACCAATAGCCATGTACATGTACAAGTTTACAATTACTTAATTTTTACTAATGAAATTTCTTCACAGATTCAAAAAATAGAGGGAGTTATATCCTACAGAGATCCTCATTTTTGGTGTCACTCTGCAACTGTTGTGGCAGGCACAATACATGTGCAAGTGGTAACAGATGTGATGGAACAGAGAATTGTACAGCAGGTACAGTGCAAGGTCTTTAGATTCTTAATTCCTTAATTTCCTACTCAGTGTCTCCGTTTTGGTCACAGACTGAAGTTTCAAGCTGACATGTATGATTTTTTTTGTAGCTCTCCATTATTGTCTCAGAACTGGTCTCTACTGCCACTTGTCTGCTAGCTCGAAATGAGTCGTGTAAAGAGTTATTTGCTAGAACATCTGCCAAAACACTGACTGACAGTGGCACTACATCTACTCTGAGAAAAGAAGGGGAGGTGTTAAAACAGGCCTGCAAAACAGGGAATAAACAGTAGGGATATCTGGATGCTAACGTGTCTAAAACCGGATTACCACTACCTATCTGCCTTTTTCTTTTCCTTAAAAGGATATATGTTTCCTTATGCAAGACACTTAGAGTGACTCAGTGTGCAGAAGTTGCAAATCCATACCGTCTGAACCTAGTCTTTGCTTTCCAGAGAATTGAATTCTTCACAATTACATATGCAGTTAAAAAGTCTACATTGTAGAGCCAGCATACTGCAAGTTACTGTGAAATACATGTGAAGTGTGATACTAATGTTAACCATTCTGTTCAGGTCACAGCAATTCTGAAAGATGCTGGTGTAAACAACTTAACTGTCCAAGTGGAGAAAGAAGCTTATTTTCAACACATGTCTGGACTCAGTACAGGATTTCAGGATGTCCTTGCAATGACTCAGCAGCTAGAATCCATGAAATACTACAAAGATGGTACTTATATCATGTGATAGAAATTTGTATTTGCCAAAGGGGATGTAAATGGTCAAGCTAATGGATTCCATATTTGTACTTTTGCTGGAAGATCTTGCACATATATGTACAGAAACAAATGTACTATATATTTCAATTTTTGTAAGTGTACTATCTTTGTTAATTGGATTGAGATGCTTTTATAAAGCAAATAAGGACTTGAATACTTGCTGTAAATGTGAAAATAATTGAAATCTTACATACTGTACTTGGTGTTTATTAAACAGAAGTCTTGAAACTTGCAGATGAGCACAGATATATTCCATACTTTCTCTGAAGTGTGGAACATCAGTATTTTAATTTCTTGTTAGCAGTGGGAAATAGAAGTAGTTTATATTGGAATGCAAACAATCACCTAGGCACTACTTTTCTGTCTTTCAGTGATAGCTTGAAGACTCTTGGATTGAAACAAACACTTTATTATGGGGATTAAAAAACATCAAGTCCTGTGTTTTGCATACTTTGTTAGATAATAGAAATATACCGTTTTTATATTATGTCTCAGCATACAGATCTGATTTCTACACTTCTAATGCACCAGAGCAAATATATGTTACCACTTTATATTTGTATCAAACTATTTTTAGACGCAAAATCCACAGATTTAACAGTGAGAAATAGGGAAGGGAAGAAAAATTAAAACACTTTTTCCTGGGGAAGACTCAAATCATAACTCAAACCACTTAAAACTTTTTGTACTTTTTATATGAATAACTGCATATTGCAATATTTGAAATCTAGAAGTAATAAATCAGTGAGCATCCTAGCTCACTCAGCTAAACTTCATCTCTTCAAGATGTGTTATCCTGTACTTTACTCACTTTTTTTAGTAATACCATGACAGCTGCAGGTGTACTGTTGCCAACTGTATCTCCATGTATTACCTAGGGAAGAAGTTCAGATTTAGAATGCTAAACTGTGAAAGTAGTCTTGGACTTAACAAGTTGCAGAAATGAACAGAAAATTGAGACTTCTTGACGAGAAAGTGAAAGAGTGTCTTTAAGAAAGAGTTATGGATGCTGAGGACTTAATACTGCAAAGAAAACAAATCCATGTGTTTAGGGAAAACCTGTCAATGGGATAATAAAATACATCTTCAGAGGTAGTTGTGCTTACATCTGTTCACAGGTTTCTTTTACCCCCTTCTTGTCTGTAGCACATTAATATTTTCCTATAAATTTAAGAAAATAATTCAGTGGTTAACAAGAACAAATACCTCTTTCACCATCCCATGTATCATGGCAGTATTGTTTTGTTGCACTGTTTTCTTGCTTCTGGTATTCAGTGGTTCTTGAATACCATAATAATAAGAATAGGCGTGATGTTAGTGAAATTGAAGGACAGAGCAGAGTGATAAAGGAATGATATAATTGGAGATTTACCAGGAATGCAGTTAGGTATGTCCTTAAGCCATTCTGTTTGTCTTGGTACCAGATTGTTTATAGCACTTCTGTTGTTTGTTTTGTTACTCTTGACGTAATTCCTCCAAACACTGTCTGCAATACAAGACTGACTTGGAAAACTGTGGTCAGAAAACTTCTAGAAGTTGCATTGCATTTGTGTAGCGTGATGAAGATAAAGTGCATAAATTGCAGTCCCTTGTGTCTTGGGACAGTGATGAAGAGTCAGCCACCTCCTCAAAGCTGGATCCTGTTCTCTGCCCATTTACACAGTGTTTTTCTTACCTTGCCACCTCCAGAAGGCTCGTCACTTGATGAGCTACAGTTATGCGCAGTCTAGAACTAGGATGATATTTTGATTTTGAAACCAATCTCAAACTAAAATTTTCACTTAATGTTTACATATGCAACTCCTGTTTTGAGGTGGTTGTACTAGACTTGATAATATTTCAGCAGACCCCATTGTGACATGAAGATGATGAAAAGGAGGGTGATTATGTCTTTTAAATCATTATCTTAGCCCAATTGTAAAGCTTTTGTGCTTGCCTCTGCTTCCTGAGCAAATGGCCATTTCCTACTTCAGCTGTAGCGGCAGAACCCAAAATGAATCAAGGTGGTTGGCACTGTGATCATGGTAGTGACGATGAGCCCATACCTGTATATTTCACAGGCAAGTGCAAACCTGCATCTTAGCTTGCATTTGGCAGGTTTTTGCGTGTTACCCAGCACACATGCACAATGTTCTTCCTGGCTCTCCTGGCCAGAAGATGATGGCTATTGTCTATCTTACATTGTCTATCTTACAACATCTTAAATTTGTTTAGTCTGGCAGTAATACACCGAAGAAGGGTTCAGGATTCCCCACAAGATCTATTGGGATTGTGCTGTGTGGGCAGGTTTTCAAACCACAGGTGGAGGCCAGTTGACTAATATCTTAGTACTGGGAGGGCATGGGGAGGTTCAGTCGAGTCACCTGATCTATATGCAGAGAGTTGCAACAAAACACTTCGGAAGATTAAACAGGTTTAAAAGGAACTCCGAGCGAGCAGTACGTGTGTATATAAAGAGGAAAATGTTCGTGTTTTATTTCCTGATGCAGAAGCCATGGGGTCGTAAGCGGGGCACGAGTTGCGGGGGCGCGGCGGCCAATGGGCGGCCAAGCAGAGGCGGCGCCTGGGCGTTTGAAAGGAGCGGTGCGTGCAGCGCTGCCCGTGCCGCTGCTCTCCTGCCCGGCGGGCTCACCTCGGATGGGAGCGGAGCGGGGTGTTGTGGCTCGCGGGGAGGCACCTGCGCGGCCCTTCGAGTCCTGCTCGCTCCTTCCCTTCCCCTCCCTTCAGGGTACAGCCTGGGAGCTTGGCGAGGAGGGCGGTGGGTGTGTGCGTGCCCGTTTCTCTTTCTCTGGGACAGCCCGTTGGTTCCCTCACTCTGCTCCCCTTCAGCCCGCTAGTGCGAAGGAGAGCTGCCCTGAAGCTTCGCATCTACGGCCCTTCGGCTCCGAAGCCGTGCAGAGCTCTTGTCGCTGCTCCGTTCCTCCATCACGCCGGCGCTGCCTGCAGCGCTGCCCCGATTCCCCCGTTCCAGCAGCGGTGCAGCGCACACCCGCACTCGTCGTCCCGCTGACTACCCTTCTCTTGCCCTCCCCTGCAATCCCGCTCCGCAGTCGATCCCTCGAAAGAGAAGAGCGCGCCACCCGTCCCCAAGAATGGGACATCGGCACTGCACGGCTGAGCCGAAAGTGCGCCCAGCCGCCAAGAAGTCGTAAGTTGAAGGGAGACCACGGGCAGCCGAGGGTCAAGCAGGCCGCCGCCCCGGGGAGGATGGTTACCAGGAGGCTTTTGCCACGGAAAACGTGCCGCAGCCAACCCCGGACTCCCAGCCAGTCCCGGCCTCTTTGTACTGTGTGCCCCTTCCCCAGCCCAGTGCTTGGCTGCTGCTGGGATAGAGCTGTGCCTTCCTCTGGTACCCTGAAATAGGGGTCATGAGCACCTGCAGTGCTCCATGTTGCAGGATTGCAGCTTGGCCCACACTGGCTATGGAAGGAGGTGCTGTCAGCACTGATTTTCTGAATTTCCTTGTAGTCAGAGCATCAGTCTCCAAACCCCATGGAAATACGGAATGTCATCCAGCAGAAGACACATGCTATGTCAGGCTTTTTCCAATATCTTGCTTGAGTCTGAAGACCCAGACATGGATGATAGTAATGACCCAAACCTGTGTAGCACTATGTGAAGGACATCTACAATTATCTGAGACACCTGGAGGTTGGTAGGCATCTAACGACATTTGCAATAAACTGTCCTTGTAGGTGTGGCTTGCCTTGGAGCAAGGATTTGCTTTCACTGATGACTTCTCCAGAGGCATTAGTAAGCCTCCTTCAGCTTTAAAGTATAGGATTGAACTCAGCTGATATTATGAAGAGATGCTGGTTGTTAGACCAATCAATTACTAATACTAGTACCGTGCTCTTTCTAGCCCATATCTAGTGTGCAAGGAAGCTCTGCGCCCTGTGGTCTACACCCACAGGTTATGCGTGTACCAAACTTCTGGATAAGGACAGGAGAAGAGGAAATGGCCACATGCTGTGCCAGGGGAGGTTCAGGTTGGACATGAATTTCTTTACTGAAAGGGTGGTCAGATACTGGAATGGGCTGCCCAGGGAAGTGAGAAAGTCACTCTCCAGAAGTGTTCAAGAAGTGACTGGAAGTGTCAGTTGACAAAGGGCTTTTACCCTGGGCTAAAACATGAATGCTGGTCAGTAACACCCTAGTGGCTGGACATACCCTTAACACTACAGATGAGCAACAAAGGACATTTGATTCTCAATTGTACATACCA